TGGTAATGCCGAGTTAAATCTTATGTTTAACCGTTTAATCTCTGAATTCGATCAAATTTCTTTTGTGAGGCTATAATCTGATCGCACGATGACAACGACCGATAAATAAGAAGTACGAATACGAAAAAGCTCGTGACAATATCTAAAAATCGTCTTAATTATTCTAACGCTCTTTAAATATCTTGATATAGCAATATGATACATTTTAAGTTCAGCGATTGTATACTAGCGTTTAATTAAACCTTTTGACTATCGCAGTTGCGCATATTCCTAACGTAGATCTTCAGTACTTTCACTGCCAAGAACGCCTATCGACGCCTCCGTTTTCTGATGGAAGAAGCCAGGGGCACCAGATGACATTTTATTCTTATGTTTCAGCTACTCGCAATTTTTAAATAGTAATTAATTTGCGGGCTCTAAACTAATAGAAAAATATCAATTGAAACGCTTAGGAGAAATTAATGTAATAAGAAATAATCGCACAAGGTTATAATTTAAAAAATGATATCAATTCTAAAGCGTAATTGAAGATCATTTCTATAACTGTTTTGTCCAATCTCGTATTAATTTGAGGTCTTTCTTTTTTTTTAATTATAGAGCCTTAGGCTAAAAATCTCTTCTCACAATCAGGTGATAGTCTACAACGGCGTGTTAAAAAGAAAATTCCAAAAGTTAACAAACAGCGCGTTGGACTTGAGAAAGATATCGTTATTATTTATCAAAATTGAGAAGTTTACCCAGATTTATAATATCATTAGCGTGCAATCGCGTGCGCGCGCGGACGATCAGGGAATGCATTCTCCTGCAAGCATCATCTCTATCTACGGTAATTTCCTCCGGGAGACGAAGGCAAACTTGTCTCTCCCTCGCACTCCCCCCCCCCCCTTCTCTCTCCCGCTCTCTCTCTCCGAGAGCACTTCGCCGTTTGGCCACGGCCGGCCAAACAAATGCGTTCTCCACCGCAGACAAATATCCTCCGCGAGTTCTGGACAGTCGATTATTTTTATTGACACGATGATCGCGCGCTGATGCCACGGTATAACTCGCGAATACGCGGCGGCGGATGCATCACGCGAGAAGGGAATCCCGGCCCGCCGGGAATACGGTCCAACGCTATACGGCTTTCTTCGTGATTATTCGAACGGCAGCATCCCCCGAGATGTTGCCGCGCGCGCGCGGATCTAAAGTGGCACGTAAGTAGCGAGTTATTACGCGAGTTATGTTGAACGCCACTCAACGGGCGGGTTCAAGGATACGTATTGGAAACCGCAACCGTATAATATATATACAGTCTCGTAATCACGAAATGTTTGATTCATCCCGACCGGCTGTCTTCCCGAAAGGGAAACAACAACCCGGCGGTTTGGTTCGTATAAAGGCGGACCGATTGAGAAATAATTGCAATAAATCCCTATCATCAATGCGCGCTGAATCCCGAATCAACCGCGTAATCATCGATAAATTTTCTTCAGACTTCTTCCCTTCCCCCCCCCCTCCGCGTCGATTACAGTTACGAAATCGCAACTCCAGCGAATGTATATAAATAAAATTCTGATCTGTCTTTAATATCTTTAAAGATCGCATTTGTCATCAGTTTGAGATGAAAGTCAGATATTTTTTCTCAACGATTATAACATTTATAACTTAAACGCTTCTTTTACTATCTTCTTTCACTACACCGATTTAATTCGAGCACTCGCCAAGTTATTAAACCAAATTGCTCGTTATCGCGCTCGAAAAATTCTCACCGTAATAATAATTTGAAAAAAGTAGAACTTTAATCGCCAAACAGGTAACGTTAATCAGGTAACGATCGAGAATACGGCCGTGTCGAAGAGGATTTTCGGCGTAAATTTGAAGAATGTTCATCGACGCGCCGGACAGTCGTCGATAGTCATGAATCCATAATGGACGAATAATCCCCTTCGATCGGCCGAGCCGACGCGCCGCGCCGCGCCGCGAGCGAGATCGGAGGAAGCCCCGGCGGTAATGGCTACGCGAGCCGCACCGCCTACGGTGTGCGTGGCGTATAGGTAGCGACAACGTGCTCCCTTATACAATCTTAAATGAGGAAGAGAGCGGGTCGATCCTTTACGGCCGAGCATGATTTTCTACCCAGATATTTCATTTCCGACAAACCCGTTCCCTCGGGCGATTAATCGCCCGCCTATATCGGCGCGCGTGGCGAATCCGCCGATTAGGGTCACCGATACGCCGATATTGGAAAGTATCGACCGTCTATTTCGCTTTTAACATCGATCCGCACGGCACAATGGATATTTAATATACATTCCGGTGGACGATACTCCGACCATTGAGCCGCGGATTTCGCTTGTGCATTATTGTTAAAACGAGACAAATGAGACAGGTGTTTCTTTGAATTGTCATCTATTTTACATTTTTATTCTCGATTGACTCGAGAATAGTATTTAATGATATCTAGACTTTTCGTTAATCATATCGTGGCATCGATGTCGCTCCGTCAAAATAGACAAACGAATAATAAGAGTATTTTAAATAAACATTGCAATTGGTTTTAGAAAATAAACGAATATGCATACGTGGACTTGATCTCACGTTATTTCTTTATTCTTTTTTTTTTATATGAGAGTTATATAATTTTCATTACTGCCCCTCGTAATACCGCGTTAGTCTTAACTTCGTTTAAATCATAAGCATGCGCGGTTTCTATCGACGAGTGCTTCAGGTCGGTCGTTCTACCAGAGAATACCACTAACGTCTTAGCTATCTCATTCGATCTCATTAAAGAGTAGCCTACCGACTAAATTGAAGAATATCCCGGGAGAGCCGACTTGACTCTTATCCGCGATCGTGGAAACTAACGACGCGTACGAGTATGGCGCGGGAGATGCTCAGATGCACATCAACGAGATCAATCAACTCAAATTATCGATCGCATTTTAGATACCGCAATTGCAGTGATATCCTACAGTTATCATCTATCATCTATCAATTACGATCGCGAAATATATTCAAGAATTGAGTTTTAGCGTAGGTCTCTCGTAGAGAACCCCCCCCCTCCCCGTTGCTTTTCTTCTCGTCGTCGGCGAAAGTACGCGTTCGTTTCCTCTTCCTTTCCTTCAAATAGTTTATCAAAGCAGCGTACGCTAACACGGTTGATTTCAACGTCGTCATTATGGATGTCCGTTGCGCGGACCGGAGGCCCGTATCTCGAAGCGAGTCATGAATTTTCGAAGCTTTCGATTCTCGCTACGGGAACGCGAGGGCCCCTCCACGCCGTATACACGCCGCATTAATTCCGGGGGTGCCTCGAGCATGACTATCCCGGTTTTAATGAGGTTTAACGAGGGCTTCCGTTCTTATTTTCAGCTTTTGTTTACCATTTCGAGCGGGCACTCGATTTATCGATCACTCGCGTTTTTCCGCCACCGCCGTCCATAGAATCTAACGTGCTTCAGAATTAGACGCGCACCCTCGGGTGATTCCTCTCGGCCTAGCCGAAGGGAGAGGAGCGGGAACAATTTATCGCTCCTTCTCGTTCTACGCGTAAATTTGAAAATCTAGCGTACTGTTTGCGACATTTTCTTAATTGTATTGCAACAAAGCCTATTTTAACTCTATCGCAATAAGCTGTGTATCAAATATTTGAAGGAACAAGTTACGCTCGAGTTACGCTGCAAGGAAAATGAGTTTCTTAAAATTTTAAAAAAATTAATATGTAAAAAAATGCTAAAAACGATTAATTTTTTCAGTTTTACTTAATAAAATGTAAATACATAAATGGGATTTCAATTACCGAACGACGTTCAAAATACTTGCGGACTGCGAACGGTGTTAAATAATTGCTACTATTAATTATACATATTAAAAACGTAATATGGAGATTCAATAGAATTACAGATACAATATTGAATGGCATTTTCTCAGGCAAAGAGTTGGCTGACAAGCCGATAAACGAAAGCTCTCGGTGAGCGGATTACAAGTCCAGATTCCGAGGGTAAACCTGTTGTTCGGCGATTGACAAAAATGCGGTGGCGACAAAGATGCGCTTGCTCCCGACCGACGAAGACGAGCGATCGAGACAAAGACGACGCCGCTGTCTTTTGAAACGTCACGATCTTCATAAAGAAATAGAAAGAACGCGGCCGTAAACCAACACGCGGCGGAGCACGAGGGTGAAGAGGGGCCCCGGGTGGCGAGAGAGAGACGGCGAGGGGAGTGCGCAGCCGCCGCCGCCGTCGAGGCAGATTTAATAAAAGCGTCTTTATTGCCAAACGCGAGTCTCCGGTCGGGTGCGTTATAGTTGCACGCGCGCATCGTCTTTACGACGAGCGATTAAAATTGGTATTAACACTCTAACGTTACCCCGCAATAATCCCCCGGTCTCGTCGCTGTCGGCAGGCCGCCGCGC